TTAACGGATGTTAACCTATATACTCAGCATTTCTCCATGCTTTATCAATGTGAAATTTGCTTAAGGTTTTCATACAAATATTGTTATTTTTTTATACAGCTAATATCTTTATTAATCAAATACTATAATAGTTTAATTAATTGATAATTTATGTCTTTTTTTTATGGTGGTATGTCTTCTTCTTCTTCTTCTTCTTCTTTTTTTTACTTCTATGCCGCTTTGGATATACTAGTTCGTTAAGTAAGTAACAAAATTGTTATTAAAGAATTCTTGGGAGTAGGCTCAAAAAAAAAGAAAAAATTAGGAGTATACTGCTTAACTTCGACAGTTGAAATTGAATATTTTGATAAAGCACAAGGATACACATCGGCAGTCCCACCGCCGATAGAAACTTTGAGACTAACTTCATTTAATAACTAGCAAGGCCCAAGAATAACGAAAAACGATAAAACTTACCCACATAACTTATAATTTAAGCCACGAGCCCGCGTGCACGTTACAGTTTGGGGCCGAAAAATTAAAAAGAAGATCCACTTTGGACACCCTTCATTTATTCCTCAGACAGTTGGACGTCACCACCAACCCGGCTACTGGCACCATCTCATAACCATGGACCGCTCTCTGACTCACAGATTCCGGTCGTCATTTTTCACCTCTCCACTCACCCATTTGCAAAATCGCCATACACCCCTAACCACCGGACCCGTGCCCGCATTTCAAGGCCGTCGAACTCATTCTCTGACAACCATGGCTGCAAAGAAAATCGGTGGAGTGGGCCAAGAGTTGAACTTGATTGCTTCCCAGAAGCTTGACTATGCTGCTGCTCGCAGGAGGGTTCGATCGGCTTTCATGGAGGTGCAGCAGAACCTTGATCATCTCTTGTTCAAGGTTAGTATGATGCTTTCATGACCCTTATTGCTATTTCTAGCCGTTTGATCTACCGTACACAGCAGCCTTCCGGCTCCTAGTAATGTATATTGTCAGTGACTGATGTGTATGTTCTTTCCTTTTGGTAAAACGCATGGACTGGGGATAGAGGGCTCCAGACGGTATAAGAACAAAGGAGGTAAGCATTTGTTCCCAAAATTTTCGATTTATAATTGTCTGTTATTGTCTGAGAAGAGAAAATAAAGGGAAAGTACCATCGAAATGTTAAAGTTCCCTGCTTTTTGAATGTTGAGATTAACTTTTAGCTCAAATCTTCCATTCATGGCTGTGCGTGCATATAATTAAGGAGTCAGAGTAGGGTGTCATGAATGGTTTAAAAAAAAAGGTTTTGTGTCTTAAAGTTATTCAATCCCTTAATAAGGGGTAATAGTCATATAGATGTTTGATACTTGGCAATTTAGATTTTGACATTTTGTTTTGGGTGTTATAGTGGATTGAAAGGAATTCGAAGGGATTGGAGGTTTTTTTTAGAAGCTGGATGCCAGAATCAGGTGTTAGAATTAAGGGTGCTGTCTTTTTTTGCCATGGTTATGGTGATACTTGCACCTTTTTCTTTGAAGGTTTGTTGATTCTGTATCTTTGTAATCTTAATTGCTTCTTACCTTATGTTGTGTTTTCTTAAAGTAATTAAGCTCATCCTAGAACTAGATTTGATATAAGATTAATTTGGTATGACAGGTATTGCTAAACATATTGCGGCCTCTGGGTATGGTGTTTATGCTATTGATCAGACTGGTTTTGGCCTTTCTGAAGGATTGCATGGTTACATCCATAGTTTTGATGAATTAGCTGATAATGTTATTGAACAATATGAGAAGATCAAAGGTATACCTATTTTAACGATGATTTCCTTTTTTAATTGCAATCAATCACATATGATTCTTTATGTTTTAATTCTTAAATCTATAGATAGCAGCGTTTAGTTAACACTCTAGTTATGTCAACATTTCCAGGAAGACCTGAATTGAGAGGGTTACCCTGTTTCATTTTTGGACAGTCCATGGGTGGAGCCATTACCCTCAAAGTTCACTTCAGGGATCCACATGGATGGGATGGACTGATCCTCGTAGCACCAATGTGTAAAGTAAGTGCATCTTTGATCTTTGCACAGACAAGGTTATGCTAAATCAAAAATAATTCTGGTGAAATAGTAAATTTGGCATGTGGACTTGCTGTCAATCTATAAGGAATCCTGCATCATTAGTTCAAGTAAACTCATCATTGATCTAGTTAACAAGTATATAGTCCTTTGTTAAGTCAAGTGACTTTTGCTTTGTGAAAACATGCTAATTGGGATACTTAAATGAATTGTTACTTATCACTGTGAAGGACATAACAATGGCTACCCTGTTGATCTCTAAAACATTCTTTGCATGTGTTAAGATAGAAATTGCAGTAAAAGAGAGAAAAAGAGATATTTTATGAATTATGAGGTGTTTTGCCTTTGCATGCTATTATAAAGCTTACAGCATTCTGATACTTGAAAGTTCTTCAATATAAGACTAGGTGCAAACTGTCCTGTTAAATCAAAATTTCTCCCATTATGTATTCATCACATTATCTCCAGTGAATCATAGTCAACATAACTGGAATCTGGCTTGAGGTCTTCCCAATATCATATGAAAATTTTATTTGTCATTGAACTAATTAGTAATTTCTGACCATGGTTACTGCAAAGATTTCAGAAGATGTGCTTCCCCCAGCAGCGGTTTTGAAGGCAATGACCTTTCTATCCAAAGTTTTCCCAACGGCAAAGCTAGCCCCTCAGATAGATCTAGCTGAACTGGCCTTCAGAGAGCCATCAAAAAAGGAAATGGTTAGTCATTTTTTCACTTTCTCCACATGAATTCACTTGTGTAGTTGCATATTGGAAAGAAAATGGGTACTAGAGCTTAACATAGGCAATCGACATTTTAAACAATCAGAAGGCTTCTACCTACTTTATCTCTATAAAATAGTAGCAACATAAAATGCTAAGGCACCTCAGGTGAGAAAAGTCCCCCTGAGCCCACCATCCCTTTTTTGATGACTTTCGCTGATCTAAACTTTAATAATGCCAAACCAGAAAGCTACATTTTATTATGTCTACTTGTACATATTTGGCCAATACAGAGCATTCACTGATCTGACATATATACTTGTAGATATGATCATTCAAGATATTCTATAAATTATGCCGCTTCCTTTCTCTTTTAGGCTGTGTACAATGTGATATGTTACAATGACCGAATGCGATTAAGAACTGCTGTAGAACTGCTAAATGCCACCAGGGATATTGAGATGAATGTGGAGAAGGTCAGTTTCCCCTTTTGAACTCCTATTGCCCTCAATAGAATGATATTACATGGAAAAGCTGAGCCAATTCTAAATTAATGGCAGGTTTCAGCTCCGTTACTGATCATTCATGGAGCTGCAGATAAGGTGACAGATCCTATGGTGAGCCGGTTTCTTTATGAGAAAGCCTCCAGCAAGGACAAAACTCTGAAGCTATATGAAGACGGCTATCACTGCATTCTGGAAGGGGAACCTGATGATAGAATTCTTACAGTCCTTAATGATATTATTGCTTGGCTGGATGCTCGGTGCTTGGATAAGTAAATTTGGTTACATGCTTTGACTCTTTATTCGGTGTCACTCAACATTCCACTTCCCTTCCTCTGTGGCAATGTCACTGCTTATATCCAATATGTCTCTCGTTACCCTTAGGAGTTTCTGCTACCATTGTTTCACTAGTGCTCAAAAATCAAAATCTTGGGTTAGGTTGATGTTTTCCATTAGTTTCCTCCAAACTATCTAGTAGTTGGCAATAGATCAATAAACAAATGTCAACTGATGTAGTTTTTCATATTATTCAGGGGAGAGATTAATCCACTTTGCGGCCATAAACATTCCTTAACTAGGAATATAAAAGGGGATATGCATTCCATTGTTTAAAATATAATTTTCAGTTGTAAAAGTCCCCGCAATTGTATTCTTTCATTTTGAGTGGATATTGTTGATTCTTCTAACATAAATGAGACTTTGTTAGGCTAACATCTTAACGACGAAAAGTTTTCCCTCTACTCTCCCCTATTTCTCTCGAACCAATAAACGCACTTATCCTTACCCATGTTTCTTATCAAAATGACTCCAAAACAAGTTTAAGGACCTAATTGTAAAAATTGATCAAGTTTGAGGTCTTTCCCTGATTCTGCCACAATTGTATACCCTTTGCTTTTCGGGGGAAAATGGATGCCGTACGGCTCTTAACCCACCGGACCGTCTTGGCACTCAAGCCAATCATCCAGTCCACGATGGTCCTTAAACGTAAGGGGAGAAATCTGGACTTTGACTTCTTGCAATTAATCGCGAGGATAAAGATCTCTCTCGCTTTTAATCATCATTACAGAGAGTATCCTCGTTTGATTTAGATTTTGTTTGACTAAAGTTTATAATTCAAATTACATCAAAAAAATATAAATTATTGAATGATAAAAAATCTAAATAATAAATGCAAATCCTCCTTCCAATAACTTATATTTTGTAATTCAAATC